GCTCTTCGAGGTAAATTTATTTGGACTTTTTTTTTCTCTTTCGGGTATTTTTCTCCTTCGACACAACACCGCCCTTATATGGTTTAATATAAAGACCTTTTCCTTCACTTCTACTGTTTTTAAACGGTTTTACGTATAGTCCTTTGCCTTGGGCTTCGATGGCTCTGTTATGACGTTCTTGTTCTGCCAACTGCTCTTTGGCCGCTTTAGCATCGTTTACTGCTTTCGCGATACCTGCCGCTCCTCCGCCTAGCGCGCCAAGTGCTCCCAATATCGGTAGTAAAAGAGGTAAAAATCCACCAATTTTATTAGGTGTTTTTATAATACGCTTTTTTTTGCCCGCTTTCATTTTGCTTGCTTTTTTAACACCCATTCCCAATTTTCGCTTTCCTTTCATTACACCTGTTATGCCTAAAGCGGCTGTTTTTTCTCCAAACGAAGAGTCCTTTGCTTTAACCCTCTACCAAGCTTTATCTTCTAAGATCTTGTCTGCTTCGTGTCTCTTTGTTAAATTGTTAGACTGAGAGTATGCTATATCGTGCTCTTTACAAGCAGCGTCTAAGGGATTTATACCTGGATCACCTCTATTTATTCTCTTCTGTAAATGAGTACCCGGTCCGCAGAATTGGTAACCAGGAATATGCAGTTCGATAGGAAGTTTGTTTATAAGTTTATTTTCCAATCCTGAACCTTTCGCCCTGTTTCGATGTACAATCATGAGAGTGTTTGGAAATACTGTTTAAATATTTAGGAATTATGCTATAAATACTTTTGCAGGTTCTTGTTAATGCCTCAGTCGAAATGAAAGTTGTTAAGCAAGCCTTTTCTTTACCCGTAAAAAACCACGATGCAAGCTTGGTCCGCGAATTTCAAAAGCACGGCGATCTCTTTGGAGGTAGTTGCAAGAGGGCACTAATTGTAGGACCCTCAAATTCGGGTAAAACCAACGTCATGTTATCATTGCTCGAACATCCTAATGGAATTAGATTTGAAAACGTTTACTTATATTCCAAATCCCTGCAACAGCCAAAATACGTGTAATTGAGAGAACTGCTAAAGCCTTTACAAGAGATTGGCTTTTTTGAGTTTGAGATCGATGAGAATATCGTTTCTCCTCAGGAAATTAAACCCAATTCTGTTATAATATTTGATGATATTCCTTGTCACGACCAAAGTGTCATTAGAGATTATTTCACTCACGGTAGGCATAAAAACACCGATTGTTTCTTTATTTTTCAAGGATATTCTTCTATACTCAAGCGACTTATCAGGGAAAACGCCAACCTTCTGATTTTATTCAAGCAAGACATGATGAGTTTAAAGCATATATATAACGATCACTGTATGTTGGACATGTCATTTGAACAGTTTAGAAATATCTGTGTGTACTGCTGGAACGAACCTTATAATTTTCTTGTGATTGACAAAGATTGTGAGTTAGATAAGGGCAGATATAGGAAAAACTTCGATTCCTTCATTTATATATAATATCCCAAAATGGATAAACACCTAGCGACGGAGCTAATAAAATCAAGAAACGCAGTTAGAGAAAAATATCAAAGGCTAAAACAAGCCGCAAGTGAATCCCAGACGCAACTCGAACAAACCTATAAACCGATAACTCAGCCTCTGCAGCAATTAATTTCATCAATAAATAAAACGGATATCAAACAAGAACCGTTTGAAGAAAAAGAAAATATTAAACATGAAGTGTTAACCTCGACGCCTACCAAAATAAAGGAGAAAAGAACCGGAAAAACCCCAATCTTACCTTCAGAATTGCCCTCATTTTTTGATACCTCCTTTCCGTCGATCCAACAACAAAGCAATGTTGTAGCTGAAAGTACGGGTCTTTCGGACAGCGATACTACGTTGGGAAATCTGTCAGATATTTTAGAACAAACTAAGCAAGCTATGCAGGATTACGTCGACACTCCCGCTTACGAGCAATGGTTGAATGACTTTAATAAATTACCACGAACATACATTGATGACAGCGTAAAAGATACCCAACATATATTTGACCATAATTATGGTATCGTTCATGACATAGAAAACGATAAATTTTTTCTGGGCTTAACCCAAAAAGCTGTGGAAATTGTCGGTAAAGATGTGAAGGTACAAGGTATTACATACCCTGGGACTGTGGGTTTGTATGAGTTACTTTTCAAGAAGGTGCCGGTCGGTTTCAAATCGCAAGATCTAGATAATTATATGGATATACTGAAAAGAACAAACGCGTATCGGAGAAACCATGACCCTAATGGACAAGTGCAAGGAAATGCATCATATAAATATATAAATATAATTGGACCTTATTTACAGGAGCGAGGAATAACAAAAACAAAAAACCCGGTGAGACGACTAGCTGACGCATTTTCTAAAGTGCCTCCGCCTTATAGGACAATCAAAACTGGGACGGGGTTAACTTTAAAATCAAATAAAGAAAATACAGATTATATTTATTGGGATAATGTTAACGAGCTTGTCGATAGATTAAGACTGTTATTGGCATCTACTGCTGCGGGGCACACGGGACATGAGAACGAAATAGCGTCAATTATTGAAGAACTAAGAGAGGGAAAAGTTATCTTATAAAATAAGCACGACTGAGAGTTAGAAAATTATTTGAGTAACAACCGCTGTCATGACTATTAATAAATTTGGAACACACATTAATCACCACCTTAACGAGAAATACGATAATTCAATGAAGGAGTTGGAAAAACATTTATCCAAAATAGAAGAGCTTGAGAAGACATTAAAGAACTATCAGGCAGATATCAATTCCCAACTTAATAAACTTTTGCCACAACAAAACCGATATACACAATGGGTGAACAAATACAATACGAGTTTGGACCAAATAAATCAGTTAGCGACAACAACTAATGAATGATTTAAAATGGTGTTTAATTCAAATTGACGGGCAATCGACAAAGTAATGAGCAGTGAGAAAGCACAACTCGTCCGAGAGCTGCACAAGCCGGCACGCAGAAATTACGCGTGTCGCAGAACTATAATACGAGGGCTGGATGATTTGTGGCAAGCGGATTTGGCTCAGCTAGACCGATATGCGAAACAAAATAAAAACTTTAAATTCATACTAGTCGTGATCGATTGCTTTTCAAAATACGTGTGGTGTCGACCGTTAAAAACAAAAACCGGTGTTGAAGTTACCAAAGCGTTTACCCAAATTCTCAAAGAAGGACGCCGGCCGCAAAATCTGCAAACTGATCTCGGCAAAGAGTTTTATAATATCCATTTTAAAAAAATGACGGGTAGGTTTGACATAAATCACTACAGTACATATAGCAACGTGAAAGCTGCCGTAGCCGAGAGAGTTATACGTACTCTCAAGGAAAAATTATTTAGATATTTTTCGTTAAACGGCACCTACAAATGGATAGATGTTTTATCCTCTGTTGTCGAAAAATATAACAGTAGCGTGCACAGGACCACCGGAATGAAACCTAAAGAAGTGAACAAAGATAACGCGCCTAGTTTGCTGAAATCAGCGTACAGTCACTTGAAAATTGTAGGACCATCTAAACTTAAACTGGACGACGTTGTAATGTTAGCCAGGACGCTTTTGGTCAGATTTAAATTAGGTCTAAAATATCTATGGAACAGCTCTCGAACAGGTCTAGGACAGCCTTAAACAGACCCAAAACCTCTACGGAACAGGTTTCTACAGGTCCGACACAGATATGGACCATTTTGCTTCTTTAAACAGGAATGTTTATTTCGCATTGCGATCGAACAATTATTTTTGGTGACGCAAAGTATAACATACTGACAAAATGAAATTACGGAGTGAGATTTTTTTTTTTGCGTTTTTGTTCGCGTCGAAGGAAATGCGACGATAACCTCGATGTCGAAGGAAACGCATGCGGTAAGAATATCAAACGTTTCGATTAAACCATTTCTTGTGTCGCAGGAAAACACGTATGCCGTTCCTAAGCGGTCTAATATGAAAGTCTCGTTTAAAACAAAGTTTAGTTTAAACATTTCGCAAAGCGATGATGTCATGCATCCGCTGCCGCACACCGACGACGCGGCGGGCAATGATATCAGCCAGTTGTCAAACGCGACGGCGGCGGTACGCCTACGACCAATTTTATCAGCGGGTCGCGTTATATTGCGGAATTCTCGCCAACACAAATCTTAATTATTCTGAAGGAACGTTCTCGAATGTAATTTTAAATTCATTACCCCAGACAAATTGGCTTAATTAACAAGTGACCGCCGCCATAGTGAGACTTCATTCTTTGGATTTTTGTTTGTGTGTCACCACTTAAAAAAGGTAAGTGTCAAGTAGAGATCTGGAACAGTTGGAGAGTGAGACGCCTATTCCTCGCAGCAAATAAAAATGTTCACCTGCGAATATTGCAACCGCTCGTTCAGCCGTAAAGACCACCTGGCGAGGCAAGGGGACTGTCGCGCAGCAGTACAAATTTGTGACGTTTGCGGCGGGATATACAAATCCGAGGGGGCTCTCCGACGCCATAAACGCGAGAAGCATGAGGTTCCCAAGGCGAAAAGACCCGCCGCCGCCCCTATTGCTGCAGACGAACCCAAGCGCCCGAGACTTGACCTACCGGAAGGTAAGGATTTTTGATTTTATATCCCAAACAATTCTCATATTGTATTTTATAGCTTCGACATCATCATCATCACCATCATCCACGCGCCATTGTACGCAGTGTAACTTGACCATTCCTGCAATGAGATGGCAAGGACACTTGCGTACTTTGGCTCACCGCCAAAAATGCAGCGTGGTGCAGGAGCCAGGAGTAGAAATGATACAGACCTCCTTCCGAAACCGCATAGTTACATACCGTCTGGCGTCCACCATTAACCCTACCGACGTTAAGGGCTTCTTGGACCACCTTAGGTCCAAAATCCTTACGTTGGTAGAGTCGAACGTCCGACGCTACGGCAACGTAAAAGTCGGTATGGAGCTATTCGGAAACTTCCTCTTACAGACGAAGGAACAAGAGGAGGTCAAGTCCTTCAATACCAAATATCGGCTGGTGAGCGGAAACACCGATCTGGAGGAGCTATACGTCCAGTTCGTCGACATCTTGGCTACCAAAGCGTCCGAGTTTCAGGAAAGGGACAGCGGTATGATTCATAAAAATGTATATTTCCGAACTAATTTCTTTCTCTTTTTTACAGGCTGGGCGTTGGAGGAACTTCTCCATTTAGAAATAGGGATTAACAAGTACAATCCCCTAAGGGCGTCGTCCTATGTTAGCCTGCCCAAGGAAATCGAAGCCAAAAAAGCTGTTTTGAACTTGCAAAATACGGACGAAAAATGCTTTATGTGGTCGATCTTGGCTGCTCTTCACCCAATTCACTGGACAAATAACGCTAACAGGGTCAGTAACTATGTAGAATTTCAGAACGAGCTGGATTTTACAGGTATCGATTTTCCCGTTAAACTTAAGGACATATCCACTTTTGAACGACTTAATGAAATTTCGGTCAATGTCTATGGCCTCGAGAGAGTCTATAACAAAGTCCGTAATGATGTTGAGGTCGTTGGTCCTTTGCATTTTACTGAATCTCGTAAAGAGAGACATGTAAACCTATTATTAATTAGTAATGACTATGGAGAAAATCATTATTGTTTAATAAGAAGTATGTCTCGGTTGGTTTCAAAACAATTAACTAAAAGGTCCTCTACAAAGTTTTTATGCGATGGGTGTTTGGTTTATTTTTATAACGAAGAAAAACTAAAGCGTCATAAAGAACACGACTGCACTCACATTTCCATCAAACTTCCGACCACCGAATTGCGCAAGGATAAATACGGTAAAGATGTTCCCGCGAATAAGCTGAAATTTGAAGAATTTGAAAAGAAATTAAAAGTTCCTTTTGTTGTGTACGCGGACTTTGAAACAGTCATGACTCCTTTACAGGTGGAAGGCGAACCGAATCCCGACAAATCGTTTACCGTCAAAACTCATATTCACGAGCCTTACTCTTTCGCCTACTTTGTCAAATGTAACTTTGACGATTCCCAGTCTACTTTTAAACAGTACAGAGGTCGGGGCGCACACAAAATTTTCATTGAATGGTTGGAGAGCGACTGCAAAGCGCTCTACAACAAGTTCATGAAAACTTCCGTGCCCATGACCACTCTATCGTTTGAACAAGAGACCGGCTTTCGAAACGCTGTGGCTTGTCACATTTGCGAGAAGCCATTTAATGCAGAGGACGAAAAAGTAAGGGATCATTGTCATATGACAGGCGAATTTCGAGGTGCGGCTCACTTCACTTGCAACTTGAATTTCAAAGTTCCGCGGCACATCCCTGTCTTTTTTCACCATTTAGGTTTCGACAGTCATTTATTTGTAAAAGTTATGGCTGAAGAAGGGGAAAAGATCGATGTCATCGCCCAAAACAAGGAACGTTACATTTCCTTTACGAAACATGTCCTAGTCGATAACATTGAGTCGGAGAAAGGAGGCAAAGGGAAAAGGGTATTTTTAAAACTCCGATTTTTAGATTCATTTCGATTTATGGCATCCAGTTTGGACAGATTGAGTCGAAATTTGAACGATAGTCAGTGTCGGGAAGTCAAAACATTTTTTGAAAATGAACAAGAATTTCAACTTATTCGACAGAAGGGCGTTTTTCCATATACGTATCTAGATTCTTTTTCAAAATTAGACGAAACCAAACTGCCATCGCACGAGGCCTTTTATGACTCCATGCGAAAGAGCAACATAACCAGGGAGGATTACAAGCGTGCCTGGACTGTGTGGAATTTGTTCAAATGTAAAACTTTAGGCGAATATTCAGATATTTATTTAAAATCCGACGTTTTACTTTTAGCCGATATTTTTGAAAACTTCAGAGAGGTGTGTCTGAAAACGTACGGTCTGGACCCGAGTCAGTTTTATACGACACCGGGTCTATCATGGACGAGCGCCCTGAAGGCGACAAAGGTCGAACTGGACCTGTTGACCGACGTGGACATGATACACTTCTTGAAGCACGGTATCCGCGGAGGAGTCAGTCAGTGTAGTGTGAGAAAGGCCGCGGCTAATAATAAATTTTTACCTCATTACGACCCTTCCAAACCTATTTCTTACGTCATGTACTTGGACGCTACCAATTTATACGGGGCGGCCATGTCACAATACCTCCCAACGGGAAACTTCGAGTGGTTGGAGGAGGGCAAAATTCAAAATTTAGATATTACGCGTATCCCCAACGATTCACCTAGGGGCTATATTTTCGAAGTATATTTGGACTATCCGGAAGTGCTGCATGACGCACACAACGAACTGCCTTTTTGCCCGGAATCCATCGTTTCGCCAATCGCGAAAACCAAAATGAGAAAACTTATTCCAATTTTAAACAATAAACGTAATTATGTATTGCATTATAGGAATCTGCAACAGGCTTTAAGCAACGGTTTAAAGCTTGTTCGCATCCATCGCGTTCTTGTTTTCGATCAATCTCCCTGGCTAAAACAATACATAGACTTGAATACGGCGATGCGTAATACAGCTAAAAATAAGTTTGAAAAAGATTTTTTCAAACTTATGAATAACGCTGTGTTTGGAAAAACGATGGAAAATGTGGACAAAAGGGTGGACGTGCGGCTCGTTTCCCATTGGGAAAATATTGGGAAAAGGTTGGGGGCAGAAGCGTTAATCGCGAGACCTAATTTTAAAAATGTCGCCATATTTAGCGAAAATCTAGTAGCTCTCCAGATGGAAAGGACTAAAGTCGTATATGATAAGCCTATTTACGCCGGATTTTGCATTTTGGACATATCCAAGACTCTCATATACGACTTTTTTTACGGCTATCTAAAGGCTAAGTACGGCGACAAAGCCGTCTTACTCTACACCGATACCGACAGCCTCGTTGTCCAAATTTTTTGCGAAAATTTCTACGAAGATATGAAAGAAAATTTGGACAAATTCGATACTTCTAATTACTCGGAGAACAACCAACACGGCATTCCTGTAAACAAGTCCGTTCTTGGTAAAATGAAGGACGAGAACGCAGGACGGCCGTTGTGGGAATTCTTGGGTACGGGAGCGAAAGCTTATTGCGTAAATGTGGACGGCAACGAGTTGACCAAAAAGGCCAAGGGCGTTGCTGACTCGGTCAGCCAGCGCGAACTTAGTCTCGACGACTATAAGCGCGCTGTCCACGAGGAAGGCACGCTAATCTTGCGCCAAATGTCTTCGTTTCGCTCACATTTACATGATATGTACGTCGAACTGAAAAATAAGGTGGCGTTGTCTTACGCGGATGACAAACGACATCTTATACCCGGCTCAGAGTACACGCTAGCTTGGGGCCATCGAAATTTAGTTGGTTCAAAGGACAGCGGGAAAATCACTGATTGATCGACCACCAGATATTTCTTTTGGCAAACTAATATGTTACGATTCCTTTAGATGATTGTAGTTTATATTTGTGTTTAATTTATGTATCTATTTATGTCCATATATGCTATTTATATATGCATATCGTTCGAATATATTTATTAATATGTGTCTATCCTGATGGGGTTTTGTATATGATTAATAAAACAATTTGTTCGATATTAGTGTCATTAAACGTCTTTTTCCCTGTTGCATTTTATTTAATCCGCAAAAAAAAAAAATGTTGTCAATAAATTATTATATTTTAAGCGACCTCGACGACCTTTTATTAGTTGAATTCTCTTATCGTCGCCGCCGAAATCGTCGTCGGCTAGGCTCGGCTAGGCTCGACTAACGTAGCGCGCGGGGTTCAAGGTTCGAATCCCCCGACCGCGCGCGACACACCGGTCGCTTTTTTCACCTCGCGCAAAAATACGTCAAAACAAAAAGGCACTAACGCAAAAACTACCCCTAGCGGGGCGAAATTGCCAAAAAGGCACTAACGCGAAAACTACCCCCTACCCCCCATTCAGGGTGACATCTGGCGATCGAAACCTGAGCTCTTAATGGGTGGCGACATCTCTCGTAGAATCGTCAAACTATTTTTATTTTATTTTTTTCTGTTGCTTGGGAATCTGTAAATTTGCAATCACAAAATCTCCCCCGGGGGACGGGGGATGGTCAAGTCACGAATAATTACTACTGTCATTATATTTTTATAAATTTACTTACTCAATCCCCATATTTGAGAAAAATTTCTGGGCTGAGCTGTTAATTAAAAAATATATATTTTAAGCAAAATAATGTCCGTTTGCAGTAGGTAGGTTTCGAACCTACGCTGCCATGGAGAATCTGGTTTCTAGTCAGAAGCCTTAACCGACACACAAGGCTAAATCTGTTTGAAAGTCGAACTATTTCTTTTGATGTGCCATGTGTTGAAATATAAGGCCATTATATTTTTATAAATTTATGTATTGAATCCCCATATTTGAGAAAAATTTCTGGACTGAGCTGTTAATTAAAAAATATGTATTTCAAGCAAAACAATGGCCGTTTGCAGCAGGTAGGTTTAGAACCTACGCTGCCATGGAGAATCTGATTTTTAGTCAGAAGCCTTAACCGACAGACCAAGGCTAAATCTGTTTGAAAGTCGAACTATTTCTGGTGATGTGCCATGCCTTGAAATATAAGTCCATTATATTTTTATAAATTTATGTACTCAATCCTTATATTTGAGAAAAATTTCTGGGCTGAGCTGTTAATTAAAAAATATATATTTCAAGCAAAACAATGACCGTTTGCAGCAGGTAGGTTTCGAACCTACGCTGCCATGGAGAATCTGATTTCTAGTCAGAAGCCTTAACCGACAGACCAAGGCTAAATCTGTTTGAAAGTCGAGCTATTTCTGGTGATGTGCCATGCGTTGAAATATAAGGCCATTATATTTTTATAAATTTATGTATTGAATCCCCATATTTTATAAAAATTTCTGGGCTGAGCTGTTAATTAAAAAATATATATTTCAAGCAAAACAATGGCCGTTTGCAGCATATAGGTTTCAAACCTACGCTGCCATGGAGAATCTGATTTCCACTTAGAAGCCTTAACCGACAGACCAAGGCTAAATCTGTTTGAAAGTCGAAGTATTTCTGATTATGTGAATATGATATATTAAAATATAAGTCCATTATATTTTTATAAATTTATGTACTCAATCCTTATATTTGAGAAAAATTTCTGGGCTGAGCTGTTAATTAAAAAATATATATTTAAAGCAAAACAATGGCCGTTTGCAGTAGGTAGGTTTCGAACTTACGCTGCAATAGAGAATTTGATTACTAGTCAGACGCCTTAACCGACAGACCAAGGCTAAATCTGTTTGAAAGTCGAACTATTTCTGGTGATGTGCCATGCGTTGAAATATAAGGCCAATTTATTTTTATAAATTTATGTAATCAATCCCCATTTTTTATAAAAATTTCTGGGCTGAGCTGTTAATTAAAAAATATATATTTCAAGCAAAACAATGGCCGTTTGCAGCATATAGGTTTCAAACCTACGCTGCCATGGAGAATCTGATTTCCACTTAGAAGCCTTAACCGACAGACCAAGGCTAAATCTGTTTGAAAGTCGAAGTATTTCTGATTATGTGAATATGATATATTAAAATATAAGTCCATTATATTTTTATAAATTTATGTACTCAATCCTTATATTTGAGAAAAATTTCTGGGCTGAGCTGTTAATTAAAAAATATATATTTCAAGCAAAACAATGACCGTTTGCAGCAGGTAGGTTTCGAACCTACGCTGCCATGGAGAATCTGATTTCTAGTCAGAAGCCTTAACCGACAGACCAAGGCTAAATCTGTTTGAAAGTCGAGCTATTTCTGGTGATGTGCCATGCGTTGAAATATAAGGCCATTATATTTTTATAAATTTATGTATTGAATCCCCATATTTTATAAAAATTTCTGGGCTGAGCTGTTAATTAAAAAATATATATTTCAAGCAAAACAATGGCCGTTTGCAGCATATAGGTTTCAAACCTACGCTGCCATGGAGAATCTGATTTCCACTCAGAAGCCTTAACCGACAGACCAAGGCTAAATCT